ACTTAGCTCCTAGCTCAAGGCTGTGCAAGCTGAAGATCTGCGCCCCAAGCCCAAGCCAGAGCCAGGGCTGACTGTCCGTGCACTGCACCGCTGCCACCGACTGTGCCACTCCCACTACACTGACCGGGTTCTCCGCATCCCATCTCATGTCATTCAGCCATGGACTCATGATGCTCTGGAAATCTAGTCTGCACGGCATCGAGTATGAGTCATCAGCATCGCCATCAGCCATCTGAGTATCAAGATACTTGCGTCCTCCGTGACGCAAAGAGACTTTCATTATTGCATGCATATAACTTAATCTTCTCGCTTGGACTCTCGCCTCCCCTCCCCGGGGGGAGATCATTTCCAACTCCCATGGGTACATTTTGTATCAGCTGATTTTCATCATTGCTGACGCATCATTAAATCTGGACTAGACGGTAGATGCAGGCTGCACCACTACCTTGACCTCAGGGACCTGGATCCCGCGGACACTCAATCTGGATGCGTACGGATGGCCGACACGTGCAAACGACATGTCAGTGTCATGCAAGAGAGGCATGAGGTCACTCGACCACTGCTACTAATCCACCTGGAGTATTATCTCATTATATATGTCAATGGTTCTAGTTGGCATCCACGTTTGTCAACGGTGTCTGCAGTGTGGCCTGGGTATCCCTGTTCCTGACCTGTGCAACCTGTGCAACCTGTGCCTCTACCCAAGGTGGAGGGTTAGGCAGGACCTACTGTTAATATACTAGACTCATTCTTATCCGAGGCTCAGCCATATACTATTTCAGGTTCAATTAAAGTCGTCAAAAATCATAGAGGTATCTAGGTAAGAAGAAAACAAACAGGACATGACCACATCATATACCAGCATCAGAATCTTCCAAGTGGCTCCGCACATGCCATATAAAAGAGAAAGATATAGACTCCGCATCCATTCACACTCATCAGTTGACGCGCTGGATCATTTGAAAACGGCCAATGGCTCTTATAGTCCGTCCGCGAGTAGCAATAGCCATGACACGCAAGGATCCATGCCACCCACTCTCGTGACAAAATCATTTCGTTATTTTTTTTTTTTTTTTTTGTCGTAATGTCTACCGGAATTTGGCTCGGCATCGGCCCATGACCTCACCCTGGCAAACCAGTTCGGCACTGAACTCGCTACCGTCGAGCGTCAGGTAGATGTCGAAGTATACCCGGTAGAATGTACCCTGTGGCGTGTCCATGCGCTCAAAGTCGGTCTCGAGATTCTTGCGCGATAGATCCGACGTCAGGGTTACAACCTCTTTGATGCCTGTATCGTACGTCAGTCCACGTCACTGGTCACAGTAAGAAATTCAAGCACTTACGCGGATCCTTGGTGTACTCTGGACAGACATCCTCGTCACAAGCGTACAGGATGTCCTCGTACATCAGTGTCGCGCCCGGCGCCACCTGTCGAAAGAAGCTGACCTTGACCGGTTCGCCGATTTTGACTCGCTCGCCCTTTTGTACAAAGATCTGCCGTGTGTACTTGCACCGGTCTCTGCCGTCCAAACTGGGAACACGGTATTGTTCCGGGTGATAGCCTTCCTTGAACGGTTGAAGAGTGGCCATGAGGTAGTGACGACGTGCCACTCGGTGGGTGATCACTCGTTCTGTGATACCTGCGGTCACGGCTCCTTTGACAATCGCGGCAACCGAGTCCATGGGTCGCACCACCTTGGACTGATACTGAGGCGGTACATGGAGCTTGATCTGCTGGAACAGATATTCCGAGGCACCGAATCCGCCGACCACAAGAACGTTCTGCCAAATCGTCAGTGGGATTTCATTATCGCAGAGATGAACCTACCTGAAGCGATCGATTCTGCGCTTGAATCGCGATGATCTGGTTCCGAACCAACTCGAGAATGCGGTTGACGACAGGCTCGAAACATTGAAGGATTTCCTCATTGGTAAACGTCATGTACCCCTCTTCGATGGCAGCCTCAGGGAAGTCTGCTTCGATACCAACATCCACGGCCCACTTCTGACCATTGTTGCGGAAATCGGCCTTGATGCGGTTCTCGAAGTCCATAATGCACTTTGCATACACCTTGCCCGCGGTTCTCGAACCGTCGGGCAACTTCATCTTGCGAATCTTGGCCCGCAGGATGTTGCTGAAATTCCGGTTCAGAGCCGTCGAACCGCACGAATCTCCCGAACCCGCCGTACACTCAGCCACGCTGAAGGGCTGCTCCTCTTCGACCTCGTACGCGATCAGATCCACCGTTCCTCCACCGCAGTCCACAATCAGGATCGCATCCCCAACTTTGAGCTGAAGCAGACCGGTCTTCGCGCAAAACAGTGCTGCAGCCTCGGGCTCCGAGATCAACGTCAAGCGATTATCGTTCTCGTCGCGCAGAAATCCAGCCTGCAGGGCCGCCGCCCTGGTCGCTGCCTTCCCCGCATCATTCCAGATCGCAGGCACGGTGAGATAGTATCGGATATTGCGCTCTTCTCGAGTAAACACCTCACCAAGAGTCTTCTGTAATTGCGCCCGCATCGCTTGTCGCAACTTAAAGAGGTAATCGGCAGCAACATCGATTTCCGATTTGCCGGGAGGAAGAGGCGGAAGGTTGATGGGGTCGATATAAGTATTTCCGGAGAGCATGAGCTGTAATTTGAACCATTCGACCTTTTGCACGCCGGTCTTCGGGTATCCAGTGGGTGCCAGAGCCTCCGCAATGTCCGGGCCCCAGCCTACCACCTTCTGATATTGATCGTAGTACAAGACGGTGGGAATCTAGATTAATTCAAATAGTCAGAAACAACAAGCGCCAGGCGATGTCTCCACAGGGTTCTAAGCGCCCACCTTCTGCTTGGTATGCGTTCCTGCCCCAGGCCATTCTGTGATGATATCTTCGCGAGCCTCATTGTTGGTCGCAAAGGCGAACGCGACACCGGAGAATGTTGTACCAAAGTCGATACCAACAATCAGTTGTGCCTTGCTCCGACCAGCACCCTCGACTTCGACTGCGGGGTTCCGTACGTTATACTGAGGCTGCGGCAACGAAGGAGGGATTCCATGTGGAACAGGTTGCTGCAACGGATACCCAGGCGGAGCGCCCATGGGTTGGACAGGCTGATGGCCGTACTGCACGTTGGTGTTCAATGGGGGCGGGTGATGACCCAACTGTTGACCGGGCGGCATGGGGCTGGTTGGCCGCCCCGCGGTGTTGTAAGTATAACTCGGAGGGCGACCCAATGTATTCTGATTGTTCATGGGGAGACTGGTCGATGAGGAACTATGGCCAGAAGGCGGAGAGCTGGGGGACGTGGCGGTTGAAGGCGGGGCGACAAGAGTGTGGGTGGACGGGCTGGGACTGGCGACTTGGGTAGCGGAGACGGAGACACTACTGTTGTTCTTATTGCGTTTGAAGCCGAAGGATTTAAATCGTGAGCTCATCAGGTCCATGTGAAATGACCTGTGACGGAGGCAACCCGAAAAGAAGAGACAAGAAGGAGTTCAGGAGAAGGGCGAGGGAGAGGGAGAAGGGGCGGGGAGAGAGGGGGGAAGAGGAAAACAATGAAAGAGACCGAGTCAGCCGGTGATGGAGAGAGGAAAGCCAGTGCTTGCAAAGGGCGGATGAAACAAACAACTCCTTTGTTTGAAGAATTTTTTTTAGCTTTCTAATCTGGATGGGTTAGGCAGAATTTGGGTGGAGGAAGAGGAAGAATGATAATGATGGAGGAACACGAGCAAGGCTGGATGAATGGAATCAAGGGATCAACTGTCGTGATTTAGTTTGCATGGGGCAAGGCTGACACTGTGGAGGCGTCACAGTAGACTTGACGTGCTGGATCATCAAGACTACCCGAGTCGATATGCTTCATCAATATTGATTGAATCGTAAATTGGAAGTGATTATTATGAATCGATGAGATGACATGCAAATGGATGCTTATTGTTACTGACTTTGCTTATGGCTCCAGCACTTGGCCACAGCCGTTAGTCACTAATATATCCTCTGCAATGCCACAGTTTCTGCTTCGGCATTTATCTGGAAGTTTGAAGATATCGAGTCCTTTTGTTTGATAATCATATTTTCTATCTTTAGCATCTCTTTCCCAGTCGAGGGCATTGCGATTGACAGCTCTCCTCGCCATGGATATGGGAATCCGGGCCCGACTCAGTGTCCCTTGGTTGTCAGTATTGTCATGTATTGTACATTACCATACATCTCAACCACCAGCCAGGAATCTGCCTGGTATCCTATCACATATGAGTGACACGTTTTGATAGAAGCCTTATTAATATGGAGAACATGCGATCAATACACTCGCAAGCATTGCCACTATAATCCATCCAGCATGAGATGATAAGAGTCCTAATGCTCCACAGATATCCAACACTCTCCCGTTCCTGAAACAGAAAGTGGAGAGAATTTCGGTCCTGAATCCGAGAATCGAGAATCAGGATACGAGCGATCTGCCTTGCCAAAGTGGAGAACGTCCGTCAAACCACCATCTCCCAACCTCAGGTTCATTAACCATCCACTTCCATTGCGACTTTGAACGCACTTCTCACTCATAGATAGTGTACAAAGAAATCACGTTCCTTATTGCCCACTGTCAATGCGAGTAAACCGTCCAAATGTCACTCTGTAGATTTGTGGGAAATCACAGAACAGCCACAACCCAGCCACTGCGCTAGAGTTGCTAAGCCATGTTCCTTTTCTTTGTTTGTCTAGTTTGTCTGCGGCTGAATCGTTGTTTCTGTACGGAGGCTGTGTTTCGTATGGTGTGATACCGTATCCAAAATACCAGACTCCCAGTCTCAAGGCTCAAGCATTCATCAGGTACGTATTGCCTTCTGTATACTGACATGTACCTTAGGTACTATATATGTGAAGCGAGCCAGTAGTCTTACGTGCTAGTAAAATATGACGGTGGTGAGCAGCAATAAACCGACGCTTGACCTCCGAGTCGTAGATTTTCACAATCCGTTCAAGTGCGTCGAGAGGAAATCCTCTTTCATTACTTCAATTTTTGATTTCTGTCTTCTTGCGCGCTACCCAATGCGAGGGCCGGTACAAGTTCTGCAGCATACTCCCTGGATCCTGAATATAACCACACAGGGGTCGGTTTTCCACCGACTGCCGTTTCTCGATGCTGAAGCCCATTCGCTCAACAAGGCAAAACACTTCTTCTTCTGTCAATTCCACATTCCCCGGCTCTCCGATGCCCTGAGAGTGATCACTTCCACTGCCATGGCCCTTGTTACTACCGTCCTCAAAGTGCCACAGTAAGGGTCCAAGATTGATCCAAAGACCGTTGGGCTTGAGGCAATGTTGGATGGTTTCGATATAGCGAATGAGATTCGGGGCCGTGTCAATGAAGAAAACGGTAGCCACGGCATCGAACGCCTCTTTGTTTGAGGGATTGTTGTAGAGCACGACGAAATCCGCCGCCGACATGCTCATTGTTCCAAATGGCGCCGAGTCCTCGGCTTGAGCCTCCATCATGACTGTTGCAGGGTGCTTGTCCGGGATCATGATTTTCTGTAACTGCTGTTCGCGCGACAGGAGATTGGAGAAGTGCAGCGCGAACGGGTACAAGGCGTGCTGCTGAGGACCGCGGGTGTGGTTTAGAACCCAGCTGCTGGCCAGCAGCTGGTGATATGAGATCTCGTTGCCTTCTGCGGCGAAGCCTGCTTGACAGATCTCGAACACCAATCTTCCCAGGCCGGCGCCCGGGACGAGCACCCGGATCTCGTCCCCGGCAGAGTGCCGGGCTTTGAACTCGTCGCGCAGATCACGGAGAACAGGCTCATAGCATACCTCTCTCTCGGCTCTCCCCTCGGCGCTCCAGTCGCGGTAGAACTGACGGATGGTTGAGTGCGCCTTGTTGACATCTGAAGACGTGGCCGTGCCGTGCCAGTTCTGCTGTGGATCATTGGGATCCGGATCGGCTGGTAGGCCGAAAGACGCGAGGCCTGTCGCGAGAATCGAGTCCGCGATGTCAGCATTGACATCGATAGCGTCATCTACGCGGTTGAAGTTGTCCAAGAGGGAGAACGGGGGCTCTGCCAGCATCTGCCAGTGCGACGATGGAAGAGCATAAAACGCTTGCCGGCGGCGATGTGTAGTGTTCATATGTGCCGTTCTCCGATATTGCCTGGTCCATGTCAGCAATTATGGCTGTAGAATTAGCAGTATGATATCTTTATGGAAGATCAAAGCCATAGCATCTCGAATCGAAATGATCACAGATTCTGGCGACCTCTGTATAGCCTCACACACCTGAAAGAATCCAACGTAGCAAAGAGAACCCGTCGTTCTTCGGGTTCTGCCAGAGGATCAAAATCCCCGGACCAGCTTCGAACGTCGTCCGAGTCATCAACCTGATCATTTTGTTGTAGTTCAGTTGCCATTGTGGCTGAAGTCCTGTGGAGGAACTCGTCTCTGGTCTGGCTCCCAATTGCGCAAGCCTCACAAGCGCAATAACTATTTCATTGCAACTTCAATGCGTTTTATCGGATCTAGTATCTTATACGACTGACATGTGCTGTTGGGATATCCAGAGTCTGGAAGAACTCTCTTTTGCAGTCTGCACACTGCAGTGGTGAAATACGTGGACCCGCCCTGTTTGGCGGGGAAACATCCAGAAAGCGGTGCTTCATTGTCGGCGACATATCAGTTGTCACCGCAAACATCGCCCTTCTTTTATCTACTCCTATACATTAGCCAGACACACACCATACTCGTCCAAATCTCAGGACGTACCTCTATTTGATATATTCAAGCCGTAAGGATAGATCTCAGACTCTCAACATGACAACAGCACAACCGGTCGCACCACAGACTGAACTTGTCACCCCGGCCTACAAACCACAAGAGATCTCCTTCCCACTACCAAAAGCACTCCATACGACCGCACACGTCCATTTGACCATCCTAGAGACATGCGTCACAGTATTCCTAGCTACTACGACGCCAGGCGAGCCTGGAGGGTCGCTAAAGCCGATGGGGAGTTTCATCTACGCCATGCCTGATGTAAGTTTCCCTCCTTTCAGATATAAATTCATATCCTGCCGGCATTTGTTTCAAACGATGATATGCATCTTATCATTTCGAATAAGTCGATGACGCATGACAGCGCCATTCCCCCCGTTCGGTCATATCAACTGTGTTATACTCCTCCCCCTCGACGGAGGAATATACGTCCCGAGTCGCCAAGATCCTGGCCCGACGGATGAGCCTCCCTGTCTACGTGGGCTGTAGCATCGATCCTCGGGCCCTCGAGTTGGCCGTTGAGGAGGAGATGGAGGGATTGAGTAAGTTGGTGGAGGTAATTATGGATAGGTGGGAGAAGACGAAGAATCAATCCAAAATAACTGGATGATATCTCCAGTCGCTGTCTGTCTCCAATCTGCATTTCTGGATTGCCATGATAAGATGGCATGCTACTAATGCTGCCTTATGTGGCACGCATATGGGGCTTGTCTCACGGTTCTAACCGAGGGTCCGCGGTGAGTAGTGACTGTCTGTGGTCAGCTGGTCACTATTCTACTGCCTCCCGTTGAGACTTCGATACCCAGAAATGGTCTAATGTGCTTATCGCCGTATCGGTACGGAGTAATGCAGTGAAACACAATCTCCATCAGGCTGAATCATGATATATTCAAGGATTAATTCGTCTCGGAGCCCACTTTCTCCATATTAATGGTAATCAAGGTTAGCGGGCATCGGTTGTGATCTGCTTTATCTGAATCTGGTTTAGGAGTGAGTAGATTCGGTATCAATGTCTCGGATAGTGATCCTTTGGATGAGATGGCCCGCCCCGGAGCTACTGCTGCCTGCGTTCCGAGTTCCGATAGGGCTTTGCACTCTCAGCTCCGTAAACATGAGACGCATCTGCTGGGATCCAGTCTAACTGTCAAGTTGCTTTGCAATTCGAAGGGAACGACAGGTCAGACTAGTGCTGACATGGGTCTGATGTAAGGGATGGTTGTATGATGTTGACACGGCATGACCGCGATGAGCGACGGAATGGCACGCCATCGGCCAACCATGGAGTGTCGTCCATAGGATAGAAGGATTCTCTGGTCGGTGACGCTGTCACCCTGTACGGTGCATATGTCCAAAAGAAGTGAATCGGACACGGACTGATGGAACATAAGAAACCGATTCGGCAACGATTCCGAAGAGCCAAGCCAGCAGGGATCAGGGAGTGGATCGCTGTCTCATATGCTAGGGAATTAAGTAATCATCATCAACTTGATGTCTGACACGAGCATGGCCGACGTGGCCCCTGGCGAACAAGTAGCATTAGGTCGGCTAGCATCGTCTCTGAAACCTGAGTATGTTGCACTCTTTGTTCTCTAAGCGAGGTGCTAGTGTAGTGTCTCTTGGTCAATATCAAAGCTCAAATGAGAGATAGAGAAGGCGGCAAGGATACTCCATACTGAGATACAAACGGTCGCGTGACCAATGGATGTCAAGTAGTTGACAACAGTCCATTTATTTGACTCTCGGTCGATAGATAAGAGTAAACACAGCAATGTCTTGGAAATATATCCTTTACGAGGAAATAGTTAATTACCACGGACCTCGAGGGCCAAAGCCACAGCTCAAAGGTCAATGCATAGCCACGTGGACCGTTGTGTTCAGGGGATTCCAGGCAATGGCCGCATCTGTGGACAAGAGATCATAAGACCGAGGTTTACGGCAGGGATGAAAAGCGCAGCCAAGGGAAGTTGAATCTGTTGGATACAAAGAGTCAGGGATAAGATGTGCGCCCCTTTCTTGACCACGCGGAAATCCCCGAGTGCTGCACTTGGCTAAGTTGGCTCTACCGTCTACCTACTACGGAGGATCGATCTATCGGATTTACTGTTAGATCTCCATAACTAATATCCGAGATTTGAAGAATTTGAAGAAATAAATCTTTATTATTGAAATTGGGATGACGAAAACTGCTCACCCTTCAGCTTTTCCAACAAGCCGTCATTCAAGTGGATTCGTAGTACCTGCGAATCGGTGCGTACCGGTGTCTGAAATCCTCATCCTCCTCATGCTTTTCGTGGGAGACACCGCATGTGAGTGGAGCCCGAAAGCCTGTTATGTCCAATCAAACATGCTGCAACACGCCAGAGTCTGATTCCATGTCTCCCGTGCGGCAACAGTTCCGTGGGTCCTTCAATGCTTTTTGATTGGGTCGGCTCCTTAAATGCTGTGACGGGCACACGAGGTAAATGGCTGCTAAGTTTAGGCTAACTCCACCCTGGAAAGCGATCCGGTGTCCAGTAATGAAGCTACCTTAAGCGACCCGGAAGCCGAAGGTCGTATCTCACAGGTTGGTGATGAAATGAGGGTGTGCAGCCTATCAGCCATTATTTGTGTATGGAGCACTCCGTACAATTTCCCAGTGAGCGTTCAGTGCGGTTCAATGTCTCTCCATGGCAAGTCGACAACGATATATTCGTCGCCCTCGTGTCCGGGTATTATTTGGCCGTTGAACGGCGCCACTGGAGTCATACCTCGCCCATGGCGTTGACGTTTACCGAAAAGGATACTCAATGTGCCGAATGAAAGTTGGAAATGACCTCTCTGCTTTTTAGTGCTGTCAAGATGATGCGACAAAGATTGCGTTTTTGCCGAGGTGTCAAGATTTGTTGTTCCTGATCTTCTCCTATGAATCTGACCGCTTCAATTCCACATCATCGACAGGGAAAGAAGAGGGTCTGCCGGCCCCCAAAGAACCTGCATCCTATTAATAATATGAAAATCTCTGTAGCTGGTATAGTCCAACGCAGGAGAAAAGGGCCCCCTGCAAGGCAAACATGGCGTGTGAGTGAGGTATGTGACAGTTTCAGATGGTAAGTGTCACACAAGGACGAACCGGAACGGGCATCAAAGCAGCTAGATGTAGCAGGCGTTTGGGAAGCAATGCACGAGCCGCCAAGCTGTACTCCGTACCTTCCATAAGCCTACAGGATGCATAGCAATAATATTGGTGATTAGGTTTATTGTTATACGGGTATTTTTTCCGCCTCTCTTCTCTCCCCATTTTGTGCAGGTTATGCATAAGAAAAGTATTCCAAGATGATCTACCCCTTTTGAAGTTGTAATCGAAGATCACTGCGTATTTCAATTCATCAAATTCATTCAGCCATTCTCTTTCCGATGATGAAATCTGGCGATGGTTGAACGACACGAAGGGCTCAATAATAAGAGGACTCCGCTTTCAGTAGCGCACCCAAAGCATTGCCGGCTGAGCAGCTGGATCGACGCAGGAGTGAATGCAATGAGGGAAGAACCTTAGTATCAACGCACAGCTTACTGCTATTGTCATTGATCGGCGAAGCCACCAACACGAGGCACTGTGGCAGAGGAGGTACTACCTGGGGGTAACTCGGTCGAAACACGGATTTTGGACCAGTCACAACGCAGGGGTCGACAATAATGGAACCCCCTCGAGAAACGCTCGGATTATTGGTTAAGCATTAGATACCTAGGGGAGTCTTTGGACTTGAATTCAAAGCCACGAAAATTGTACTTAGACTATGAGCCACGTATCGACCTTACTATCTAGTACTAGTCAGGTCCTTTCGATTTGCTGCCGCCACGCCCTCAAAACTTCAAGAGTCGTTTCCATGAAATCTCTAGACTAGTCCGTATCCAAAACAGGACCTCCCGGCTCAGCATCCGGGCTAGGCCTTTCAGCCTTTTAAGGTTCCATGGAGCTCAGCAATGGGGGTAGTCCGAGGCGGCCGTTGATAGATTGCCAAAGCTTACCCATCTGTAACTACGCAAGGGAGAAAAAAAGCCGTCTGCCTTCTATCCTGACAGATCTGCTGAGCGCACGATCATGACTCAGAAATACAGATTCGTAATGGTATCTGAAGCAGGAGAGCACCCTCTGTCCAGTGTCCGGAGAATAAGCACAGCACGGACTCCAGCTTCGCCGGTGACGAAAAAGAAAAGAAATCAAGCGGACGAATCAAATGTTCTGGATGACATTCCGTCCAGCCCGTCTCTAACTCGACGGACCACTTGGATCCTTTTAAACATTATTTTTGATGTTTGAACGGTTGAGCCTTCGACAGAACCATACTTTGGCTGACGTACCTTGCCTTATTCAACTGCTTATCTAATATCATACTCCAGGCTTGGTGATGATCATCTAGGGAACTATCGCCCAGGAGATGATTGCCACGGATGTGAGATACCTTACAGGCCCGCTTGCCTTGTTAACTCGCATACGAATACTCATTCTTGAAGTCAGAGATCTTATCCAAAAGAGTAGGTACCTTATACTACGGTAGACATTGGATTTAGAGTGAATAACATGGCAAGAGAACTGCACTCAACACTGCCACTGCCGATCTCGGGATACCACTTCGAAATTAGTCTACTTGCTAGCCTTGTC